CAGACATTTCGGATAGTGATCGTAATGAAGAGATCTGATTAGTCGGTAACGTATATTCTAAAATGTTCCTAGTTGATGAAGTGTTGAGATAGGACATCATCACTTTGGTTTAGACTAGTGTATGCTTTATTTCTCCTTTTGAAGGAGATGATCAATCTCTTAGATCATTGATGTGAGACATCAAGATACAGTATACAGGTGACTCATTAGTGAATGAGTTGACTGAACGACTCGCCGAGAACATCTAGTTGGTAATATACTTAACTGTCAAATAGAAGTTCTCAAGTGATATAGTACATAGTAGTCTCTTGACCTGAGGCATGAGTGCAATATCTTATATGTCAGTAAAGATGTATTTAGACTTTTACCTAACCACAGTTCTTATTGAATTGTGCATAACGGTTCTTGTTGGGTACATCCCGAGACATAAGTAGATATTGAGATGCCAAGAAGGGATTCGTCTCTCCCAGTATAGGGGTTGATGTCATAAGATTGTTTGATATAACTATAGCCTGGAAATCCTTGGCCAAGGTGAATAAGATAAACTGAGTGTCAGTTTGATCTTATAGGTTATGAGTTTAATATCAATAAACACTAATCAAGCTATTAGGGTTTGACAGTTTGCCATACCCTAGGCTCAATAGTTTGACATGGTTTGACGAAGAGACCGGACTGTACGGTATTATCATTGAGTGGTCCTGATAAAATTGGATAAGCATCTTGCAGACCTTTATCACAACTTATACCCGGGTGGTCTTCATGTGTAGCTAGCACCTCTGTTGTACTTATGGATATGATCCACTACCGAGTTTTTTAAGTTGGGCCCTAGAGTCACACCAAGCGCGTACTTGAATCCTATGAAACACAATTTATGGAGTGATGCGTATGATTGATACGCATATATGATTTCTTCCGGATACACATAAACGGTTATGTATATCGGTAAAATCGGAATGCTATGTGCTTAGGAAATGAATTCCAGTATTTTTCCCATAAAGTTAACTTTTAGTCAACTAGTTGACTTTTTGGTCAACAGTTGACTTTTGGTCAACTCTTGATTTATTTGGTCATATAGTGACTAATTAGTTAAAGATTGGAATAATACTATATACCGTATTTATGAAATACTGTATTAGTGATAATAATTTGGTATTCTCATTTATGAAATACACATACCATGTATAATGAGTCATGAGATGAGTCACTTAGTGGTATGGTTTGAGCACATGGTTTATTAGCACATGGTTTTGAAATGTAATGATTCATAAGATGATTCATTGCATGACTCACTTGATTAATCATTAATTTTTGATGATTCATTGCATGACTCATAGGATGAGTCATTCATATCATGAACACATTTCACTCTATAAATATGAGCTCTTTTTCTTATGGAAAGGTTAATGGAAAATTGGCTAAGTGTTTTTTTCCATAAGAGAATAAAAGAGAGCTCTCCTCTTACTAAACTTTAGCAATCTTTGAGCAAGAGGAAGTAGTAGGATTTTAAGAACCCCGGGGTGGATATCTTGCCTTGTGTCTTAAGAAGACTCCCATTTTATCAAGCTCACTTGAAGACTTGGAGATCCACTACAAGGAGATTTTCTACTACAAGGAGCAAGAGCTAGGGGTTATTCGATCTTCCATCGAATCACGCTACGAAAGTATGATTTTCTAACTCTTGTATGCTCACTTAATAATAAGGATCATGTTAGATTTAATTAGACGATCCATATGAATATTTCATGCTCTCTACATGCTTAGTATTTTTGTACATACATGTCTTCCGCTGTGTATTATGCATGTAGACATAGCACGATTTCCTTCACTAACGCATTACATAAAGTAGAACTAATTCGAGTGCAGTTAAAACTGACACTAGAAAAGCTAGAACTAACACTCGAGCAATTAGAACTAACATGACAATTAGCCCCGATGCTTACACCAGAACTAACGCATTACATAAAGTAGAACTAACTCGAGTGCAGCTAGAACTGACACTGGAGAAGCTAGAACTAACACTTGAACAATTAGAACTAACATGACAATTAGCCCCGATGCTTACACCAGAACTAACACATTATAGAAAGTAGAACTAACTCGAGTGCAACTAGAACTGACACTGGAGAAGCTAGATCTAACACTCGAGCAATTAGAACTAGCATAGCAATTAGATCCAGCGTTTACACCGGAACTAACGTATTATATAAAGTAAAACTAACGCAATCATAAATTCTTTACAATATGTACTATTGCTCTTCTTTGTGGCAAATAGTAGTCGTTTGAGAAATTTAGCAGAATTTCTTCAAAAGGTAAGTTGCTGCTCAATGAGGAGATCATTCACCTCCTCTTCATCTTCAAAAGCATCGTCAATATGCTTTGCCACGATCTGAGATTATTAAGAGATTATAATTTAAAGTAGGATTAGACATACGTGAATATTGTTTGCAGTTAGTGTGAAGTAATTTAGAGTTAACATAACAGGATACTTACATAGCCTATTAAGAAGTTCTTATTCGTTTCCTCTTCATTCACCTTCATCTTGTCCTTAAGCTTATGATGCACTCCTTCACCCCTCTGTACCGCGGGAAATGCATATACATTTGAAGGAGCAAGCCCAACTTCTGCAATAGTCCTATGAATAAATGTTATTGAAGCTGACTTAGCATTTGATGCAATTGTCCTCACCCTTATGGATGAGATTTTCACCTCCTCTGATGCCCAATTTGTCATTGGAGGCCTGGTGCTGTCGACATAGGTATATTTCTTTATGCCTGTCATCTTATAGTACCAAAGCTATATCAAATACATTAACCATTCAAATTAGAACTAACAATGTATAAATTATAACTAGACTATACCAAAGTAAGTAAAACATGAGTGTAGCTAGTACTAACATGGTGTAAATTAGGACTAACACGATATAAATTAGAACTACCATGATCTATGCTAGAACCAACATGAACCCAGGTAGAACTAACATGATTTCTATTAGAACTAACATGGGTGCAGTTAGAACTAACATGATATAAATTAGAACCAACATGGTGTAAACTAAAACTAACATGGTGTAAATTAGAACTAACATGATGTAAACTAGAACTAATATTGTATAAGTTAGAACTAACATGACATAAATTAGAACTAGAATGAACCAAAGTAAGTAAAACATGGAACTTACACACACTAGTGTCATACAACCTGGGACATATGTGACTCCTGGCTTCTTCTTGCCCTCCAAAGCAACTCTAATACCCCTGATAATTTTTGAATGAAAGAATTGGACCTGGCAACTCCTTTGACCCTCTTAATGCTATCCAGGTACCTGAGTACAGGTCTAGGGATACTTTTCCCGCTTCTGGGGCACCATATCATTGAGCATTGGTACAAAATTTACAGCAGAACAAAGTCTTGGATATCATGCTTTTTGTAGATTCCACGAGCCTTTCCAGTTGCCCTTCAAGGTATCTTTGATGGGTGATTGTTGGTTTTTTAACTTCTTCCCCTCTTCAGTTTTAAAAAGATTAGCGAAGTATTCCACCCAGATTCTGTTTCTTAAGTCCCGATTGATACTTATGAGTTCCCCATGAATTGGGAAATAAGTATAGTTATGAACCCATTGTAAATCAAATGTAACACTTTTTACTCCCTCAGTTTTTGAATCAGGGATAGAAAATGTGTCATTAGCACTATCGTAATAGCTCAACAGCAATTCAAGTGTGGGGCGATCAGGCGCAGGAGCCCCAAATAATATATAGTGCTCAAATATAGATCCGCAGTATGCATCCATATGCCACTGACATATCTTCGAGGCAATACGCTTCATGAATTCCCAATAAGCCCCGATATTGGCGGTTAGCCTTATTGATTCACCCGCATCAGTATCAGCAACTTTTTTCCTGTGAAAAAAATTCAAATTTGCAAGTTCAATTAGACCTAACGTGACATAAATTAGACCTAACACTGCGAGCATCTAGAATTAATATGGACTCAAACTAGAACTAAAATGGACTGTGGTAAACCCTAGCATTGTTTAAGATGAACTGAAATTAGAAAAAATCGGGTCGAGTCTCCAAATCCTCGATAACATAGCACTTACTATTTTTTGGGGGAGGGTTTGTTAGTACGACCAGCCCTTGTCGATTTTTCCGGTCTCGCCATTCTACCGCTTGCCTTTGCATTTTCATAAGGGTTTGAGTGACTTCCTTCGCGCTGCCAAGCTAAGATGAACGACTTCGTAGTCGTTAACGATATCTGTTTCCCGGAACGATATTTTTCTAGCAAAAACCCAAGGACTGTTGAAATCCGACGAGAAAAATAAAATTTTAAGAGTTTCGGTGGCTCCTCAACGGTGGAAGAGAGGAGGAAGAGGAAGAGGGTACTTGAATAGGGAGAGGACACAGTAACCGAGTTCAGTCCCATCAAAAAGGCAAGTTCGTAACTTCCACTGGTTTTTTTTAACGGTACTTTGAGGTCTCCTCAAAAATACTGTGTGTATTTAGGGCTTATCCACACGAAGTAGAATACAACTCATATGAAGTTTATGCTTTAGTGGTATGAACACATTTTTCCCATTGGTTTTTTATAAAAAAAATAAAAAATAATTTCTATTGATTTGTCATATTTTAAAAATAATTTCTATTAAAAAAATCTTTTATTTCGTTCTTTCTTTCGTCATCCACAATACTATTATTCTACTATGCACAATAGCACATGCGTGTCACATCCATGTCTACCAAAAGTAAGGGCCCACACTGCTCCTCATACTGTTCAAACATGAGAAAGATCATCAAAAGGAAGGAGTAGTCAAGGAGACTGAAGGGGCCAATAGTACTCCACCACCCCCCTACTGAGCCTCTACATCTTTCTCTCTTAGTTGCCTTTTGAGTTATCTCATTCAGACAAATTACTTTTTTTTCTCACTTTAATATCTCCCTGCACTAGATCTGTTCTCAGATTCTCTCAGAGAGATCTACAAGCGTTTTTCTCACTCTCAGGTGATCAAATATCAACCTCTTTTTCGTTTTTTTTCCTTTCTTTTTCTGCAGTGACTTGGATTCTTATGCTGCCTTTGGGTCGCTGTCAATCCCATGAAAGGACCTTACCAAAATTAAATAAAGCAAAAAAAAGGGGGGAAATTAATACATGGTTTTCATCTATATGAGGAAATAAATAAAGAAAAAATAATTTACCTAATATTCTGTGATTGTGTATATATATTGCAGTCAATAGTTTCTTTATATTTTAGGAGATATTATTATATATATTATAAAATGGGAGGAGGGGGTCTCCTGTGTTTTCTATGCTTTTCTATCTTTTCGTTGCTTTAAGTCTTTTCGTGTCCCTTCTCAAAATTTAAGCTTTTGTGGCTTTGTCGAGAGAGGGTTCTTATCCTTAAAGGTGAGGTCTGATTAATTTAGGGTTTTTCGAAGCATGGAAGAAATCTCTATTTAATGATCACGATCGTGTTTTTTTCGTTTATTTTGATCTAATATTTCATGATCATGATCATATTTTTTTTGTTTTTGTTTTTTTTTTTGGTCAATGAAAAAATTTTATTCATTCACCAATGAAAGAATTTAGTGTACATCAAGATCTCAAAAAAAATATTTGAGAACCAAAACCTGAGTAGATAACCAATCTCTATTTTTTTTTGTTTATTTTGATCTAATGTTTTCTTTCATTTATTCTTTATGTTCTCTCTCATGTGCAGATTTTTTGTGTATGGAAGAAGAATTAGGGTTTGCAAGGTCAGAATCAGCATCACCTTACAAGAGCAGAGTTCAAGAGGTCAGTTTTTTTAGTGATTTCTATTTGACCTTTTGAGGACTCTCTTTCTCAATAAAACAGGTTTATTTGCTTTGTAATTAAATTTTAGATTATAGATTATGGGTCTCTTTAGTTTTTTCATGCAGGTGGTTGTCATTTTTATGTTAAAATTTGTTGCAGCTAGCCTCCACTAATTCATGATCTAACATATTCAGACCAAGTTCATTCGGTTGAATTTTGACTATTATTATGATATATTCTAAGGAAGCTCATGCAAGTTTTTTTATTGTTACTTTTTTTTCCTTTTGGGTCCTATGATTTTTTTATAGTTAGGTTCACATTCAAGACCATGAACAGTTACATTTTATAGCATTTCCAAGTCTTTCACAGTATTAATTACCTACTCTGATAATGCTTACAATTTTTGGGTACCCGTAGCATTTTTAACCTGAAGATCTATGAGCAAAAAAGTGGAGTACTGCATTACCTATGGATTCAACTGGATGCTTAATCCTATGTGAATCGGTTTTCATATGTTTATACTTGCACAAAAAAGGCAAGTGTAAACATGGATATTGTTATGGATTTATAGTCTTCGGCTCCTTTTAGAGTATCTAGTATTCAAATGCTACATGGGAAAAAAATTATACTTATGAAAGTATATTCACATGGATATTGATATGGATAGTTGGTCACTCTTTAGAGTATCTAGCATTCAAAAACTTTTAAGTACATGAAAAAAATTATACCTATTAAAGTGTTAAATCAGTATTGCTTAATGTAAAACAAAAACAAATATTTGATTGGTCTATACATGTAAGATTAACTTTAATTTTCCTATTAAAGTTTAGGGATAAGCAATAATGTCCGGTTATTATTTAGATCTGACCAAAGTTTTCTATAATATGGTTCTCTGTATATTAGGTTCAACATCCGTACAATACCCATATCCATGTTGCTTGTGCATAAGAGAGAAACAAATAAGGATAGAGTATGGTATTTTTAGATTTGGATTTAAATATCTGTAAAATTTACAATTTGAGCTTCCTACCAAGATAGCCAGTACCAGAATCCCATTTGTTGATTCTTTTGCTATAATTATTTACAAACCTTACGTTTTAATATTCTTTGATATATATGTTTTTGTTAATATGGATGTTTTCTTTGCGTTTATTTCTCACAAAGTATGCTTGCTGGAGCTTGTTAATTGTGCAGGGGATGTTGAAGAATGAGTTAGAGAGAGCTTCCTTCAGCCCACTCATGGGTGGTTGCGGATATAGAATTGGCTGCCGACTCATTCATTCAAACGCTCAGTGTAAATGCCAGGGTAAAGTGACTTAGTGAATGAGTGAATGAAGCGGGAGCCAATTCCATCCTTTCTTCTCCATGCTTGGACTGAAGGGAGCTCCCTCTTCTTCCAAAATTAAATCCACCTGTTTATTTGTATTCCATGTAGGTAATTTTGTTTATATATATATTCAGTGCTTTTATTTATCATCAACTATTTTAATCTTTTAAAATACCTTAAGATAATCTCATGATTGGTTAGATTATTATTTTTTTTGAGAGAATATACTGTTGGTTATAATATATATTTTTTGGTTATTTTTCGACGATCCTCAATGGATGATCGCATACTAATTTGAATTTTAAAGAACAAACCCTAATCTCAAACTAAGCAATCCTGGTATCATCAACAGCACGTTACTGTTAAAGCCATTAAATTTAAATTTTATCTGAAAGTTATGAACTTGAGAAATAGTTTCTCCACTGTAATTTCATAACAGAATGCCGGAGGGAATTTGTAAATGCATTGCAGCTGCTTCAGTTTCTTTCTTTCTTGATGTATGCTCTCTGAAAATGCAGCCATGCTCTTTCTCGTGGCAAAAAGTGTCGTCGTTGGAAATTGTACCAGTCTTACGGCAAACTATGCACCAAAATATTGGCAGGTTTTTAAAGAAAGTTTGTTCGCAGATGTAGCCCTATTTAGACGTATAAACAAAAAAAAAAAACTAAAAAAAAAAAACTGAAAATTATATTAGAACGCCACAAATCCTTAGTAACATTCTCTTACTCTCTAAATTTAAGCACTCTCTTTTCCTCCTTTTTGGAGTATCTTTGTTGTTTATTGTCTAAGCTAAAATATTCTCTCTCTCTCTCTCTCTCTCTCTCTCTCTCTCTCTCTCCCTCCTCGTGAGCTCCTTTGTTCTTTTTTTCGTTTGTGTCCTTTATTTTTGTTTGGGTAGTTGTAAGTTTGAGAAATGGATTTTCTGAGAAATGGATTTTCTGAGGATACGTGCATTGACCTATTTCTTAACGAAACAAAATTGTTGAAAATGAATGAAAATCTAATTTTGATTTTAAATCTTAAAATACTGGTAAACATCCAAACAAGCCCCAAGTTAAAGCTTTCTAGCTTTGCTTTGTTGCTTGTCACTAAATTTGCTTTGCTTTTTAATGACATTATTTTTGGTAAATCTTTTATTGACATCTATTGGAACTTGTAGTTCATAGTACATTTCTTTCTATGCTTTGCAAACTTATTCCTTATTCATGGGAACTCTTCGATATTACGCCTGCAAAGTCTTTGGAATGTAATTAATAATTGCTTTCTGCAAAACACTGGCTTCCATTTTTCAAGTTACAACTGGAATTGGGCCAAGTGGCCGTTAGAAGAACAAGCGGTTCTCTCTCTTGGGCTTCCGATGGGAAGTAGGGAGCTACTGTTTGCTCCCTAGACAATTAAACTCGGGAAAAGTTTCACAAAAGAGTTTTTTTTTCTTTGGATTACTTGCTTATGCCCCTCTTAATTCATTGGTATTTGCGATAATACTATTCACATTTTTGTATTTACAAAGCTATCTCTTAAATCGTCAATTATTGTGATTGCAAATTTAGCTTATCGAGTTGGTGATGTTGTTTTGATCGTACTTCAATTTTTTTTATAAAATTGATGATTTGACGGCTACTTTAGCGAGTAGTGAGGCTTGGAGCTTTGTTTTGCAAGTATTCTTGATGCAAGGGTCATATATGCAAATAACTCTTAATTTTTTTGCATCGAGAGAACAGCTGACATGACAAGTTCTCTGTGATGTCTGTGGGTGGGATTTAGATTCTTTTGGGTATTTGATAAGTACGCTCTTTCTTTTTGGGAGTGCTATGTAATAGACTAATAATGTGCTTAACCTAATGAAATACATGCTTAATATCTGGTACATTGGAATTTGATGCAAGTACATGTATTTGATTTCTTTATTTTGTGCTGAGGTGTAACTGTTCACCAAACCCTTTTGATTATATGAAGTATAGTACAATTCCAAGCGCTGAGTGCTGAGAGCGCTTTTTTGCTTTTCAGCTTGTGCGTGTATATTGTTTAAGCTTTGAATGGGAGGCATTAGGGCAGTGGAATTTGCCAAATATGGATATGCTAACCCTAATGACATGCTTCTTATGGAAATGGCCTTTATTAGTGGAGGAGCTTTGCACATATCCCATAGTTATTTGTTTCTTAATAATGCTCTAAATCTACGAGAGGCCCACAGAGTATTATAGCTCTAAATCTGAAGAGAATGGTCACATCTTTACAAGTATTATGTACTGTTCATCATGGGAATACTGTGTGTCACGGTTCATTTTTCGTTTTTTTAAATTTTTTTAAAATGCCAAATGGCTCCTATATGCCCTTCTTGTTTCCATGGCAATTATATACTAGGTTTGGCTCGATAGGAGAGAAGGTGAGTTTTTGGTAGGAGGGAAGGTGAATGGAGGGGTTCCGGGGATGGATAAAAAAATTAGTGTGCCTTTAGCTGAGAGGTAGAGAGAGTGTGGGGAGGGGACGTGAGGAAAGGGAACATCACAAAATGAACTAAAAGTTAGAAAGAGAAGAATCTCTTCAAATTGGGAGAACACGAGGAGAGAATATTGTTAAAGTAAGAGAGAGAGAGAGAATCTTGGGTAAATTTCCCTTGAATTGAATATTGAGTGTGCACATATATTTATACAAGTAGAGGAGTGTGAGGTTTGTTCTCCCAAGCAATGTGGGACTAAAACCCACTACAATACACTATTATCAACAGCCCCCTTCAAACTCATGTTGGATCAAACAAAGTGAGTTTGCGTACAAGAAACTGGAACCGATGAACAGGTAAGGCCTTTGTGAAGAAATCTGCAAGCTCGTCAGCGGATGAAACATGAGGAAGTAGAATTGTCTTGTCCTTGATAACTTGGTGACGGACAAAATGAGCGTCGATCTCAATATGTTTGGTCCTTTCATGAAATACTGGATTATTAGCAATCTGGATGGCACTCTTATTATCACAGTAGAGAGGAGTAGGAGTCGTAACAGAAATACCGAAATCACTGAGAAGGCGACGAAGATGAATAATCTCTTTAGCTGTTGTGGACATTGCACGATACTCTGCCTCAGTACTGGAAAGAGCAATAACATCTTGTTTCTTACTTCGCCAGGAAATAAGGGAATCACCAAGAAATATACAATAACCTGTGGTAGACTTTCTGGTAGTTGGATCACCAGCCCAATCAGCATCAGAATATGCACAAAGCTCTAACTTAGATGTAGCAGGAAACAAAAGTGAGCGAGTGCTAGTACCCCGGAGGTACCGAAGAATCCGTAATAAGACAGCATAGTGTACAGAACGTGGGGCACTAACAAATTGACTGACAATACCAACAGCATGAGAGATATCTGGTCGAGAGATGCACAAATAGACCAACTGACCAACAAGATGTCGATATCGGGTAGGATCAGATAGAGGCTCACCGTCAGTAGAGCAAAGTTTGACATTCTGCTGGAGTGGAGTATCGACAGTTGTATTATCAGTTAACTCAGCTTGATTTAGAATATCTGAGAGATACTTCTGTTGAGACAGTAATACACCCCGCGGGCCTTGAGAAATTTCTAGACCAAGGAAATACCGAAGAGATCCAAGATCCTTCATGTGGAACTGTTGTTGCAACTGAGATTTTGCGTATTGTATACCTGTCATATCATCACCTGTAATGATCATATCATCTACATAGATGAGTAATAAAACCCTGCCACGCGATGTAGTGCGAACAAACAGAGAAGCATCTTGATGACTTTCTATAAAGCCCGCTTTGAGCACAACATCGCGAAAACACTCAAACCAAGCGCGGGGTGCCTGTTTGAGACCATAAACAGCACGACGAAGGAGACATACATGTCCCGGAGGAATATTTGACCCTGGAGGCGGTTGCATATATACGGTCTCTGATAAAGAGCCATGAAGAAAAGCATTTTTGACATCCATCTGGTATAAGGGCCAACGATGAGCAGCAGCGACCGCAAGGAGAGTACGCACAGTGGGCATCTGAGCAACAGGAGCAAAGGTCTCCTCATAATCAATACCTTGTTGCTGAGTAAAACCTCTAGCCACTAAACGAGCTTTTCGACGTTCAATGGTGCCATCAGGACGAAACTTGACCTTATAAACCCATTTACTGCCAACAAGAGAGATCCCAGGAGGACAGGGAACAATATCCCAGGTATGAGTTTGCTGAAATGCTTGAAATTCCTCAGCCATAGCTTGTCGCCACTCTGGAATTTGAACTGCCTCTTGGAAGGACTTTGGCTCAACAATAGTATGAATGGCAGCAAGAAAGTTATGAAAGATAGGTGAATAAGAAGTAACAGAAGCATACCGGGCAGGCATGACATGTGGGCGTTTGCCTCGACGAAGAGCAAGAGGAACCTCAGGCGGGGGAGATGCTGGCGCAGGTGCATGAAGATCAACAGTATTTTCTGGAGTGAGAGTTGTGTCCACAGGATATGGATTAGATGGTGTAAGAGAAGACTCAGGTGAGGAAGAGTCAACAGAAGGAGAGGGAGAGATGTCAGGGAGATCTCGAAAGGAAAATTGAGGTGAAGAAGTGGGTGATGCAGTGGACGGGGAAGCATGATCGGTAGAGTGGAGGAAATTAAAGTCATCAGAAGTAGAATAATATGGAGAATCCTCTTCGAACTGAACATGACGAGATATATGAACTCGACGAGTTGCGGGATCATAACAACGATAACCTCGATGTTCTGAACTAATTCCTAAATAAACACAAGAAACTGCTCTGGGAGACAATTTATCACGTTCGTGAGATGGCAGAAAAACAAAACATCGACAACCAAAAACGCGAACTAGATCATAACGGGGAGGATGAGTATAAACACGACTATAAGGAGTAGCACCGGAAAGAGAGCTAGATGGAGTGATATTAATGGCATGAGTCGCGGTGAGAATAGCCTCAGCCCAGAAACGACGAGGAACAGAGTAAGAAATGAGCATTGATCGGGCAGTATCGAGGATATGACGATGTTTGCGTTCAGCAACACCATTTTGCTCATGAGTGTAGGGACATGACTGTTGAAAGATAGTCCCATGAGAGGACATGATAGAGCGCATGGCAGAGGATAGGTACTCTTTGGCACAATCAGAACGAAAAACTTTAATACGAGATTGCCATTGAGTGAAAATCATAGCAGTGAAGGCTTGATAAGCAGTAAGTACGTCAGAGCGATTCTTAAGTAGGTAAACCCATGTAAAACGAGAGAAATCGTCGATAAAACTAACATAATATAAGTAGCCAGATGAAGAAGGCAAAGGAGCTGGCCCCCAAATATCAGAATGTACTAAATCAAATAAGGAAGTGGATACAGATGTACTCATTTTAAATGGTAAAGCAGTGAATTTAGCCAATTTGCAACCAGCACATGACTCAATACTAGAACTAGATGATACAGGACCAAGTACTCCAGACTGAATAAGACTCTCCAGCCTTTTATTACACACATGACCAAGTCGTCTATGCCATAAATTGGCAGGAAGCGAGGTAGAGGGTTTTGACGAACAAAGAGAAGCAACAAGAGAACGTGGACGTATGGACTCTGGAAGGTGAAGATATTCCAGAAAATACAGTTTGTGCCTCCTACGACCCGCCCCAACCGTCTTGCCCGTCTGTGGATCCTGCACAATACAAGTATCAGAAGAAAATGAGACAAACAGGCCCGCCATGCATAAAGAGCTAATAGAAATTAAATTCAAGCACAATTGTGGAGCCACATAGACGGGACCAAGTGTTAGACGACCAGATGGATCATTTTGTGGGGTAATAGAGCCATACTGAGTAATGGACAATGGTTGTCCAGCAGCTGTGTAGATAGGAGGAAGAGAGGATGAAGTAAAGACAGAGGATAAAAGTGAGGCATTACAAGTCATATGAAAGGAACAACCAGAGTCAAAAATCCAGAGATCATTCATACCAGAGACTGAAGGATTAGCTGAAGAACCAGCAAAATGCATACCAGAGAGTTGTGCGGCGGATGTAGAGGTGATATGTTGAAAAGCATCAAGTTGACGGCGAAGACTTTCAATAGCTTGAATAGTAGAGTCTGAAGTAGTAGAAGGTATAGCATTGGCCAACAATCCTGGTGTACGAGAGGGTTGAGACTGAGGGGGTCGCCGACCACGTCCAGTACCTGAGGAACGTAACTCAGGATGAAGCTTGAAGCATGTCTCAATGCGGTGTCCTTCCTTCTTACAATATTTGCAAGAGAGCTTAGATCGAGCCTGTGGAGAGGGAGCCTGTGGAGAAGTATAATTCATAACAGGAGCAGTGACAGGTACAGACAAAACAGTCTCGAGTGAAGAGGTAGGAGTGTCTGTTGACAAATTGAGTCGTGCTGTCTGCTGCCGGGTCTCATAAGCAGTGAGAGCTCCCATAACTGAGGCCAAAGTCGGAAATTGAGGCTGGTGAAGTAGTTGATCAGCCATAGTTGAATATTCAGGAAGGGACTGAAACAATTGATGCACCTCATGCCGTTCGTACCAGGCTAGCCAGTCTTCATATGTGGAATTACGTCCAGGAAGCATGGAGCGTAACTCTGTCCAAAAAGCTTGCATTTGTCCAAAATGGGACTGCAGAGATGAACTACCTTTGCGTTGTAGAGAAATGCGTTGCAGAAGATATGCCTCCCGTGCACCCGAGCACTCAGTGAAACGCTCAGTGAGACGAGTCCACATGGCCTGAGCAGAGGGAAGCGAGCCAATCTCGACAGTGAGACCAGAGCCAACACAGCGAGTGAGATAATCCATAACACGAAATTCCTGCAATTGCCACTCTGAACTCTCCTTGACATAGAGAGCACGAGCAGTCTGAAGATCGACATCACCACTGCCAGA